TGATGGCTTACAAAGGAATTTCCTCTACTGAAGTTATTCCTATTTCACAGCTGAGGAAATTGAGGCACAGAGAGGTTACATGCCCAAAGTCACCCAGTGGCAGCGCCTGGATTTGAACCCAGGTTCCCAAACTTCAATTCCATTGTCACATTTACCTCATTAGGTACGAGGTGTCCCCAGAGGCCAATAATGCAGGTTCTCATTATCCCCCAATACTAGGGTTTTCATGGGGACTAACTGTGTAACATATTGCGGGCTAACATATATGATAGAGAAGCACAGTTTGACAATCCTCAAATTAGCCAACTACTTATTTCTGCTCCTTTTGCAAACGATAATAACGTCTCAGCTTTAGTAAGTATTTTGAGTTGCTGAATCTTAACTCTAGATATCAGTTCCAGAAAGTGTTGACGGGGGCCTGGGTCCCTCCTGTGAAATTCAAACATAATCTCATTTACCAATGAGTGTCCTAATGGCTCAAAAGAAGGTGGTGCATCTTAATTAGAGCAGAACAAATGATTAGCCTTGTCAATGAAAGCATAAAAGGACCCCCATGAATGAATTCACTAATTGTTCTTCCCTATTTTGGACAGCAGTCTTCAGCTGTAAAAAACAGACAGACCCACGCACAGCACAATAGATGTTTATGTCTTGTAGCTATATATACACATTACACATAGGATACCACACAAACATGCATGCATGCACACACACACACGTGTGTGGGCAAATACACACAGACAGAGCTAATGATCTAGATGCCATACTGGTCTGGTGAGCCCAACGCTCGATGCTGAACACTCACTTTTAGTTCAATTCAAGAAATAATGCTTACTATGTGCCAAAGTGTCATCCACGACAATGTTAAAAGAAGGCAGCAAAAGCCAAACCCAGAATTTAGGTAACCTGAAACCCAGTGCTTGGATAAATGATCATTCTCTACAATAAATATAGAAAGGCTCACTATAAAAACCTGAAAATGTCCAGTTTCAGAAAAGAAAGAGAGAGAAAAGAGAAGAAGAGAAAGAATAAGGGAGAAAAGAAGAGCAAGAATGAGAGAGAAAGAGGAAGATGAAAGAAAGGAAAAGACAGAGAGAAAAAAGGGACAGAAGATTGAAAAAGAGAGAGGAAGTGAAAGAATGAGGAAGAGAAAGAGGAAGATGAAAGAAAGAGGGAGAGAGGAATAAAAACGAGGGAGAAAGGAAGAGAAAGACTGAGGGAGAGAAAGAGGAAGAGGAATAGAAAAAGGGAGAGAGAGAAAGATGAAAGAGAGAGGAATAGAAAAAGAAGGAGAGAGGAAGAGAAAGAATTAGGGAGAGACAGAAGGAGATGAAAGAAAGAGGGAGAGAGGAATAGAAGAAGAGGGAGGGAGGAAGAGAAAGAATGAGAGAGGAAGACAGAGAGAGGGAGAGAAAAAGACAAAATAGAGAGGGAGAGAAAGAAAGAAAATTAAGAGAAAGGAGAAAAAAGGAGAAAGACGGAAAGGAAGAAAGAAAAAGAAAGGAACGAAGGAAAGAAAGAAAAGAAGGAAGGGAAGAAAGGAACACAAACCTATAACAGGAAAGAAAGAAGCAAGGAAGAAAGAATGGGAGGGAGGTGAGAGAGAGAATGTGAAAGAGAGAAAAAGAGGGAAAAAGAAAAGAAGAGAAAAACCCAACTCACCATGTCAGTCCTCTCCCTGGCTCATCTCTCATCGCCAGGCCATCGCTGGACTGGCTGTCCTGATTTTAACTAATCACTCAGTTAACAAGTTAGCTCCCTTTAAGCTCAGGCCGGTACCCAGTGATTCGGCAAACACAATAAAGAAATCAGCCCGTCACCGATACAGAAGTCAGAATGAGGTTTAAATCAAATCATCCTCGACAACAATGACATTAATTATGCTTTTAACACGTTTTTACTGCTCTGTTTTTTTTACTTCACGCCACATCTGTGTGAACAATATCAAAAAGATTTACGATTTTCTTTCGTAATTACAGACATACAGCCAGCTCACTTATCAAAATACTTGCTGAGCAATCAGACCATATAGCATTCTCGGCAAAAGATTTGTGTTGACAGCAGCCATTCAAAACAAAAATGTTGAATCAGGGCTTCCAAAAAAAAAAAAAGCCTTCGACAAATAATTTGCCTGTCAAGAAACAGAAAAACAGGGGAGTGAGTGCTTGGGCGTTCTGGTGAATTCTAACGGAATATTATTTCCAAGGGAGGGAGCTGGGGCTGAGATGCTCAGAACACTGGCAAGTGAGCTGACATTTGATTCTTTGTATCTCCAGATAAAATTTAATGAGAACAAAAATATGTCTTCCTAATTCCCCTAAGAAATCATTAAAACATTTTGTTATTCTTAAATGTCTCGAAAATGAATTAGAGGCCCTGAAGGAGCCTTTTGTAGGGTACATCTCCATCAGTTACAGGCTGCTCATTCTCAGACTTGTTGACAGCTGGGGCTGACTTCCCCCTATCTCCTATCGAGGAGAGCTGGGAAATGAAGCAATCAAAACCCACATCAGGCTAGGAATGACCTTCCTTTTTAGTTGGGGGGTGTTGGCAGGAATATGGCAGGGCAGGAATATGGGACTTTTCTCTTAATCAAGGGAATTCTTGGGCCCCCTGAGCCAATCTGGGTGGTGGGTTCCAACCCTGGACACCATCCAGAGCCATAGCCCTGACTAGCTCTCCCCTATCCCCCACTGGTATCCCAACTGGATTATCCAATCCAATCCCACCACCATTATAGGAAGTGTCTACTATGTGCCAGGCACTGAAATGCCCCTCAAGAGTCAGGAGTCTATATTCTATTGGGAGTGGTGGTGGGAAGGACATATAGGACATATAAACAGATAAATACATCTATGACCCTCTGGAGGCAGCTAAATGGCTCAGTGGATAGAGTGCTAGGCCTGGAGTCAGGAAGACCCGAGTTCAAATCTGACCTCAGATGCTTACTAGCTTTGTGACCCTGGGCAAGTCGTTGAAACTCGGTTTGCCTCAATCCACTGGAGAAGGAAATGGCAAACCATTCCAGTATCCTTCCCATGAAAACCCCATGGATGGTATTGGCATGCTATAGTCTACAGGGTCAGGAAGAGTTGGACACAAGTGAACACAACAAAAACGATCCTCTGAGGAAGAAGAGGGAGCAAGCTAGGGATTTTAAAGTAGGTATGGGGTGCAAAGACAAGAAAGTTGGAGACAAAGGAGCTGGGCTTTGGGGAACAGATCTCCAATGAGAAGGAACCCCATTAATCCCAGAGGCAGCCCATCCCCCTGTGGGACAGAGCTAACCATCAGAAGTTCTTCCTGACGTCAAGGCATAAATTAGCCTCTCTTTAACTTCCACCCATTGCGACCCAGTTGGACCAAGCAGACTGAAGCAAGACTCCTCGGCCTCGTTAGGGCAGTTGTTCCCTAGAGAAGGATCAGGAAGGAGGGTAGAAGGTCTGGGTCAGGGATAGTCCACTGGACCTGGGGATTTCATTCGTAGGAAGAAACTCTCTCCATGAACGCAAATTAGCCGCTGTTCTGCAGTTTAGTTTGTCTGAGGCACAGTGATGCTAAGACATTTGCCCAGGCCACACAGCCAGTATTTGTGAGAAGGGGGTACCTGGGCTGGTTTTCCTGATGCCCAGTTTGACTCTCTGCCCACCCAGATTCATTTCTAACTGTGCCCTCTGCCTCCAACTCAGCCAGTCTCTGTAATATTAGCTTAAGAAAAGGTTTGTAAGAAAGTAGTCTGTTGGGGGAGGGAGTGAGGCATGATTGGATGCATTGGAAAACCAAATAGAAATGAATCTGGAGATCTTGGTTGGAATCCTGGGTCTGTTTCAATTATTAACCAGGTGTCCTTGCAAGACATTTCCTCTCTCTGGGTCTGTCTCCTCCAAATGAAGGCGTTGAACATAACTATAATTTCTAAGGCGCCTCCCAGCTCTGACATTCCATGTTCTAAGGCCCTTCCAACTCTGATAGTCTTTGCTCTAAGGTCACTCCCAGCTCTAAAATTCTGTCTTAGCCTATTGATGATTAATAAATGCTTTGGATTACCTATGTCACAGTTCCCTTCCATTAGTAACATTTGGATTGGAGTGACATTCTTGACCACATGAGAATCCATCATCCCACCAGGTTTCTCGGTCCTGGGACATCCTAAGTCTGCACTTTTGCCCATCAGTGCTAGAGAATGGCAGCGGAGGGGTGGTAGTGAATGTTGATAATAAAGACACCTCAAATTTATTGAGTGTTTCAAAGGCTCCAAATACTTTCCTTACAAGCATCGTGAAGCGGTGAATAGTGTAGGGGTTATTACACCGCACCCCTTCATTTTACAGGCAAGCAAACTGAGGCTAAGAGACAAAACGATTTTCCACTGGTCCCTTGACTAGTAAGTAGCAGAGTCGCAATTCAAACCCGACTCAAATCCGCATCCCAAGATGTGCCTGCTCCATTGTGCTGATTTTGCAGTGATACTGGAGGTGAGAAGTGAAGGATTGGCATAGACAGTCAGTCAGGGAAAGGGCCATCGGGGTAGCAGGAAGGGACAGAGTGTGGACACTTTCCTTTGGAGTCTGTACCCAAGTCCATTATCACTGTTCATCAGCAGAGAAGGCTGGGAGTTGCCTTTATCTTAATATCATCAGGCACCAGGCCTTGGCAGGAAAATAGCCTTTCTCCAAGGGGGCTTCTCACTTGGTCAGGGGGCCAAGAAATGCCTAGACCAGGGGCTGCTGAATATGGGAAACCTGGCCAACTGCCCAGTTAACCTCTGATGAACCAGAAGGAGAAGGGAAATGCAGCATTCTGATGAGAAGTGTGCCCACCTAGCAGGAAAGGTGGCGTACCCAGATACCTTCCCCCGTAGGACAGCAAGGCACCACTCAAGAATACATCACAGAGGTCAATCTTCCCAGGCTCCAGCTGCTAGGTAACCTCTGTCTGAAAGTCTTAACACTCCCTCCTCATCATTAATTATTCAACTAAGTGGTCCCAGCTTTTCTTACCTGGTGCTTCAATTAATTGCTTGTAGACACTCAGGAAGGCAGACTCAGCCTCCTGGCTTCTCTTACTAAGGGCAACCACCTTTGGGATCCGGAGGAGAAAAAAAAAAAGACAAGAAAGAAAGAGAGAAAGAAAAAAGAGAGATCACTGGTAACTATGGGAGTCAGAGTCTGGGGCTGAACTTTAGCTTTTTACATGTGAGCATCCCTGAGGACAGGAAGAGGGGGAGTCTGCAATGAGCCCACTTGTTGCATTCATTAATTATATTAACTAATCATTACCAATATTTGATTATTTCATTAATATTTTTATTTTCATTTTACATTAATTTATTATCAATAATCAATTAATTAATGCTTTCATTAAGCACCCACTGTGTGCTAAGCATTGCACTAGGCACTGGGTTTGCAAAGACAAACATGAAACCCATTCTGCTTTCAAGGAACTTGTGGAGCGGGGTAGGGTGGGGGTGGGGACAACACATACCTATATAAACAAATCAGCATAACCCAAGTCTAAGTAATTTTGAGAGGAAAAGAAAGCTTATGACTGGGGGAGCAGGGAAGGCCTCGTGTAAGTGGTGGGGCCTGGGGTGCACTTGGAAGGAAGTCAAGGATGCTCAGAGACAGAGATGAGGAGGGAGGGTAACTCCCCAAGTACAGGGGAAGTTAGCTGAGGGGCCTCTTTCAAGCTGTTCTGGATGCAGAATGTTCTAGCAACACATCTGTTTTGTTTTTTCAGGGAACATGTATGTGCATGTGTGTGATCTCATGTGTGTGTTTTGTGAGAGGGGTTAAGTTGGAGAAAACCTCAATTTTCTGCTTCTAAAAAGTAAGATGAGGCCAGAGAAGTTGCTACAATTAAAAAAAATGTTAAAAGGCTCTTAGAACTCTTTGGATGTCACACGACTTCTTCAATAAAGAGTGAGCCATCGATGGCATTGAATGAAGGAAGACATCAAAACAGTATCATTCTATGAGGCGACAGAGTGCCTTCATTCATTCAGAAATATTTATCGAGTGTCTACCACGTACAGGGCCGAGAAACTTCTCTTGTCCCCCTCTCCCCCTTTTACTCTCCCAGCACACACACACACACACACACACACACACACACAC